TTTATTATTATTTGTAGCGCCATGAACTTGCTTTATAAAAGAAATGGTCACATGTTAGACATGGATATTCAAGTTTTGATGTCAAAAATGCCCTTGGCTGTAAAGTGAAGTAGTTTATATTTGAATTTGTATAAGAAATTTAGAAAAGGTAAATAAATCATTTCAAAAAAAAGGGGGAAATCTGAATATTTCATGAAACTATTTGTATGATGTCTTTATTAATTTAATCACTATTAGCAAAAGAAATTCTTTAATAGTTACTGTAATTAAGGATGAAATGATTGTTTAATTTATAAATGATTAAATATAATTCTTAATGACTAGAAGATGCAGAGTTAAGGATGAAATGATTGTTTAATTTATAAATGATTAAATATAATTCTTAATGACTAGAAGATGCAGAGTGGATGTAAACCTCAAGTAAGTCATCTTCTCCAACAACAGCAAATGGTATGATTGTGGCTCCAAACCTGGAAGCCATCCTAACAAATTCTGATTGTTCAGGCCAAAATAGTTTGTATTCCTCACCCTACAAATTGGAGAACAAGTCATAAGAAAATATAGAAACATGGATATGTTAAAACAATAAATGCACCCACTTATATATATAGATATGAAGAGATGGCAACTCATGCTTCAAACACATTATCATTATTTTGCATATATATGTAATTTAATCCTAATTACTTAATTAGGTACCTGAAGTCAGAGATTGTTCAGTCTTTCCTATGGAACAATATATTTAGGATGAATCCAAATGTTGATAAGGAAGTTTAAAACCTCTATGATTTTTTTTTTACCAATTCCATAAAAGTGGTAGACCCGTGAATGAAGAAAAGGGAATTAATGGTAAGGAAATTTTATCAATTCCATAAAAGTAGTAGACCTGTGAATGAAGAAAATGGAATTAATGGTAAGGGAAAAAAATAGTTTCACTGTTAAGGATCAGGATGTTTGCTTCTGTTTTATGATTAGACCAATCTAAAATTTCATCCTTCACGCTCATCAACACTCATGGAGCTTCGTCATAAGGGGGCAGCTATGAAATAGGATCACCAACGTTAAACCTGGGAAGTGCATGGATTTCAGGATACTAAAAACAGATACCATTTCAAACTCAAAAAGAAAATTTCTTGTTTCGGATTATAGTCAAGGACACAGACTGTAAATGCATATCAAAACTTTCCGATGCATGCATCTAATAATATTCCAAGCCTTTCAAAGCATTCTCTATAGAACAATATATCATATCTTCTGGGAGGGTTAAAGTTCAAGGAGACAGACTGTAAATGCATATCAAAACATAACTTTAAACATATGTCTGATGCATACATCTAATCAGATTCAAAGCTTTTCAAAACATTCTCTATAGACTAAACCTGCTCTGCCACAAAGGATGGTGCAGTTACGTACTCATACAAATCAGTATACGTTAACAATAAACGATACCAACATTGAACTAAAAAGGATTTGGAAATGAGTAGTGATATAATTGTGATCCATGTTGTATGGGTAGTTTAACATGAAGCCCTCCTGTACCGGACAACGAAACTTTCTGCACTGTCCTTGAATATATGCATACATTTATCCAGACACGTGCTGAATTATATAATACATGTTTTAATCTAAAAAACTCGTCATGCACTTCTTAAGATGCCACATCCACCTTTTGAAACTTGTTGCACATGGATCTGGTTTGTTTCAGTCCATACACATTTTAAAACTATGATTCTAAAGGGTAATTTGCATATCTAGTTCAAAAACGTCTTGTTTTCCAATTTATAACCTACACAATAATAAAAGAAACATAAAAGTTCTCTATGAATTTTAATTCTCATAACACATGAATGAAAGAAACTATATCGATCTTTGTGAGTCATTAATTTCAATAAATATACATATAGCTGTGTCCCCAACTCCCCATACCCAACCTTCTACAGTTTATTTTATTTTATTTTATTTTATTTTTGTCTTATGCACCTATATCCATTTTCATGCAACATAGCCCATTCCTAATTAGAATTCAGACTACCATGTTCATTAGTCATAGGTTCACGGATTGTTCAGCGATGAGTAGAAGAAGCGCTGAAAAAAGGAAAAATACATAATTTTGTCCTAATTTGATAACGTATTATTATTCATTATTTTCTGTTTCAGCCATAGTACTCAAAATGGTTGCCCCTTGAAAACTTTCATGAGAAAAAATAAGGCCTGATTTAATCCTTGGTTGACTCCACGTCTGAGAAATTACCTCCAAAATAAATTGACATGTTAATGCTATATAAAAAAGAAAAAATAAGGCCTGATTTGATCCTTGGTTGACTCCACCTCCGAGAAATTACCTCCAAAATAAATTGACATGTTAATGCTATATAAAAAAAGAAAATGGCTAATAAAACAATTTATACTACCTTTTTATGAATAGCTTCACGTGCACCTCCAGGGTACAGTAAAACCGTTGACTTTCTTGACAGCAGCTTATAGAAATTGGCAGGTGACACAGGAACAGCACCTACAAGTCTCATTCCATCAAATGATGAAGGATCTAACATAATCACTTCGGAATCCCTTTCAAACATAAATGGGTGAGCAATGCCCCGAAGATGGATATTTTTGTCAGTTAAGAGCCTTGAAACCAAATGACCCAGATCCAACCCCAATAGCATATGGTATCCGACAAACACAGTAGGTCCTTCAGAAGGAACCCCCTCAAGACCCTTCACCACTTTCCCATTCTTTAGTGTGGATAACATCACAGGACTGGCAACTAGATCAACCCATCTAAAAGAACATAGTGGTAAAAACTTGGATGAATATTTTTCACAAGGTAAAATTAATAACGTTATTGGGTATTAGTGTGGTTAGGATATGCAGTAAGGACCTTTACCTGTACGGCTCTACCGCCTTCTGGAATTCATGAGGGGTAGGCAATAGATAATCTGATACATAGTCTTTAAGTCTTGAATGACGATAATAGTTACATGCCTTTATAGCAGTTACTAGATCGATTCCTCCTTCCTGTTTCATCGAGAGTACCGCTATCAGACAAAAAGTTGCAAGCTGAAACATCTATTAGTTTTTCTTCAAGGGAATAATTAATAATGAATCAAATGTGTGTAGCATTCAGAGCTGCAGACTACACAAAATTACCAGAAGCGCTGCATGTGTAGAACTGGGATCTTTCTCATACAACAAAGAGGAAGAACATCAGCACTGAATTTTGTGTCGTAAAAGGGTAAGAAAATAAAATGATGGTGAAAAGATTGGGGATAAACAAAAACAACAGGGTAATTATCCATAACTGGGAAGATTTGATGACTTAACATGCTACCAGAGATTGATTAAACATAGTGGACATGCTGTGGCAAGGAAAATGGTTATAGTTTAGTTTATAACAAAAAAGTGGTTGCATGGTCATAGTTTCAGATGAAACTTGTTAGAATACAAAATTTATAACCCTCAATCTTCATCACATTTTCAGAGTTTTGATGCATTGGTAGGCACTTTAAGATGATAACAAAGCCATCCATATTTGATTCCCATGGGAAGCAGATTTAAAAAGGAAATAAAAAACCACTGCCAAAAGATTGGCTTGTAAAGTCATCCTTAATCTGTAGGGTTGGGTTAACATAAAAAATTATAATCCTCCATCCTCACCACCATTCCGGAATTTTGATACAGTGGCAATAACTTCAAGAGAACTAACAAATTTTGGTAGAGCGGACAACTAGAAGGTGAACACATCTATTTTAAATGAAAAGAAAGTCCAAAAAATTAAATGGTATTTTGAACAAGGTGTAAAGTACTTTATCTGCCACCATGAGGAGAAAAGGATACACAAAGGTGTAAGAGGTTGGACTATAGTGACAAAGTCAAATTAACCCGGATAGACATTAGACTAACATTTATTGACTATGATCCAAATCTGGAAACCCCTACTCAAGTCTTTCATGACATCATGGATAACTAACTATATATCCGTCTTTCCTTCTTCTCGATACGAGATTAACGCTTGTTACAAAAGATATCATACTCTCTAGAACCTAATCCTTTTGTTAAACAATCAGCTAACTGCTCTTCTGATTTCACATAGCTCAAAGTCAGAACTCCTCTATTCAGTTGCTCCTTGATAAAGAACCGATCGATCTCCACATGTTTGGTGCGATCATGCTGAACTGGATTATTTGCAATATTAATCGCCGATTTGTTGTCACACCAAAGTTGTAAGGAGTCTCTTCTAAACAAGCGCAGCTCAGATAATATGCTTTTGACCCACATCAACTCGCATAGACCAACTGCCATAGCCCTGTACTCCGTCTCAGCTGTAAACCTAGCCACCACATCTTGCTTCTTGCTACGCCAAGATACGAGATTGCCTCCAACAAATACACAGTAGCCTGTAGTGGACCTACGATCATCCATACAACCCGCCCAATCAGCATCACAGTAGCCTTCAATTCTCAGATGTCCAGAACTTCTGAACCACAACCCCTTTCCTGGGCTTCCCTTAATATATCTAAGAATTCTGCGAACTGCCTCCATATGTTGTTCTCTAGGATCATGCATATATCTACTCACCACATTTACGGCATGAGTATATCAGGTCTTGTATGGCATAAATATATAAGTCGTCCAACTAATCTTTGATATTGCTCTTTACTTACTGGGTCACCACCTTTGGCACACATCTTATGATTCTGCTCGATAGGAGTAGATGCAACTCTGTACCCCAACATCCCTGTCTCTGAGAGAAGATCCAGAGCATACTTCCGCTGAGAAAGCACTATACCCTTTTGCGACCTTGCAATTTTAATTCCGATGAAGTATTTTAACTGCCCCAGATCTTTAACTTCAAATTCCTCTCCCAATTTCTTCTTCAACCGTAGGATTTCTTTAACATCATCTCCAGTGATTACAATATCATCAACATAGACCGCCAGAATAGTGATACGAGTTTTGGAGTGCCTGTAAAACACAGTATGACACAGACTGCCAACCTGAATTTGTCAAACCATGCTCTCGGAGACTGTTTTAACCCATACAAAGACTTCTTCAACTTGCACACCTTTCCAGCTACTTGAGAAGTAGCGAAGCCTGGTGGAATCTCCATATACACCTCCTCCTGGAGATCTCCATGCATCTCCATATACACCTCCTCCTGGAGATCTCCATGCAAAAATGCATTCTTGACATCTAGCTGATGTAGTGACCAATTGAAGTTGACAGCACATGACACCAACACTCTAACAGTGCTCATCTTTGCTACTGGAGCAAATGTCTCGTCATAGTCAATGCCATACGTTTGACTGTAACCTTTAGCAACCAATTTGGCTTTGTATCTGTCAATCTTGCCCTCTGGAGTTTGCTTAACCGTATACACCCACTTACATCCAACAGCACGCTTCCCAGTTGGCAGAGGTACCAGCTCCCAAGTATCATTCTTCTTCAAAGCCCGAAGTTTCTCTTGCATGGCACTCAACCACCTAGGGTCTTGCTTAGCGACCTGCCAGTTGTTAGGTACAGGCACTGAATGCAATGATGCAATGAATGACTTATATGCAGGTGGAATGGATGCATATGAAATGTAATTCGCAATGTCAGTATCCCAACTATCAAACTTAGCTGGAGGTTTTCCAGCATTGACTCTGGAGGTTCTACGGGGTAAGACGGGAGTATTAGAATTATCAGGGAAGAACTCGTTACCTTTCGATTTAGGTGGAGAAGTCACTGGAGAGGAGGGACATGGGACATCAACATTTATGGGCACTGGCATAGGCACAGGAGGCGGCTCATGTTGTTGTTTCTGTCTCCTCGTGTATACTCTCAGCTCCCCCTGACCTTGACTGTCACTTCCTGAGTCGCCATCACTACTCGATGGTGTACCATCACTGCTCGATCGCTCAAGAGGACATGGAATCATCCCAACCACGACGTCATTCTCATTCTCATTTTCATTCTCATTCTCCCCCTCTCTACTAGCCTTAGTCGAGTCATCTCCAAACAAGGAACTCAACTCCGTCTTCTCCCCATAAAACGGTTCAAACTCCCGAAAAGTCACATCCATACTGACAAACAATCTTTTTTCAGTGGGACACCAACACTTGTATCCATTTTGGCTTGATGAGTAGCCAACAAAGATACATTTAACTGCTTGCGGATCCAGTTTACTCACCATCAATCTGTGATCTCTCACATAACATGTGCATCCAAACACTCTTGGTGGAACAACAAAAACATTCGAGCCCAAGAGCATCTAACACGGTGTCTTCATCCCTAATACTCTTGATGGCATCCTATTGATCAAATAAGCTGTCGTCATGACAGCCTCACTCCATAAAAACTTAGGCACATTCATTGTCAACATCAATGAGCGAGCCACTTCCAGTAGATGCCTGTTCTTACGTTCAGCTACCCCATTCTGAGCAGGGGTGTCTGGACAAATAGTTTGATGAATGATTTCCTGATTAGAAATGAAAGCTGCAAACTCCTTGTTGACATACTCAGTCTCATTATCTGTTCGGAGAATATTCACCTGCATTCCAAACTGTGTCTTCACATAGGCCGAGAAGTCTTGAAAACATTTGTAAACCTCAGATTTCTGTTTCATCATGTATATCCAGACCATACGTGAATAACAATCAATGAAAGTAACAAACCATCTAAAACCACTAATAGAGGTAGTAGGACATGGTCCCCAAACATCAGAATGGACAAGTGCAAATGGTTCACAACTTCGAAGACCAATCATTCTATAAGTAGAACGAGTATGTTTTCCAAGTTCACAGGCATTGCAAAATAACTCTTTTCTATCCACTTTCTTCATTAACTCAGGTTCTAATCTATTCAAACTCTTAAAAGATAAATGCCCTAACTGACAATGTTGAAGCATCGCTTCTGCCTCTGGGCCTCCGCTAACAGCAGTGGCAATCATTGCAGTCTCCCTGTCCAAGTACCAAAGACCATCACGTCTGATGCCAGTCCCAATCCTCCTCCCCGTTTCCTTCTCCTGAAAGACACACAAATCTCGATCAAATAACACGGTGCAATTTAATTGATCAATGAGAGAGCTAACTGAGAGTAAGTTAACTAGAAACGAAGGAACATGCAATACAGATGACAAGGTAACAGATGAAGTGCAATGGACCGAGCCAGTACCCCTGATGGGTTAGGATGTCCCATCAGCAGTTTGAACTGTCTCAGGATGCATATGTTTACTCGGATAATATAATGCAAACTCACTAGATGTTCCTGTGACATGCCTAGATGCACCTGAGTCTATGATCCAATCAACATGAGTTTTAGTGGATGTAAGTGCCTGAACCTGTGTACCTTTAGTCGCATGAGCATAACCAATAAAGTTACCAAAGCATGTAGTGGTAGCTAGATCCTGAGTGAGACTTGTCCCTTGCCCTTCGAACTCTCAGCCCGAAGCTTGAACAGACGTAGTTCCTCCAGCTCTGTTATTTCAGCTCCAGTCATTCCAGCAGTAGTCTGAGACTCATCTGTCACAGCTAGGTGAGCAACTCCTTGGCTTACACGCCCCCTGCCTCCTCGACCTGCACGGTCACCAGTCTGACCACGTTCACCCCAGTTCCTTTCCCTGGGTGGCTTAGGGCACATCTGTCTCAGATGCCCTACCTCTCCGCAGTTGAAGCACTGCCTAGTCTCCCCTCTAAATCTAGTGTTATCCGGGTTGGATACCACCAGCGCAAACTTCTCCCCTGTAAGTCCACCTATCCCAGACCGTAGCCTGATACGACTCTCCTCCTGTATCATGGCCGAGACTGCCTTCTCCAGTGGTGGGATCTTTGTCTGGGTTAGTAGCAATGTCGTCCTCTGCTCATACGCTGGAGCCAAACCTCGGAGAAACAACATGGTCCTCTTCTTTAGTAGCAATGTCGTCCTCTGCTCATACGCTGGAGCCAAACCTCGGAGAAACAACATGGTCCTCTTCTACAAAGAGGCATCACGCTCCTTGCACTCAGGGTCCTTGCAGCTCGCTAGGGGCGAGAAGTGATCGTGATCGAGCCACAAGCGCTCCAGCTCTGTGACGTACTCCTGTACAGTCCTCTCCCCCTGGACTATAGCGCTGATCTCCTTCTCAATCTGGAATACCCTCAGGTTGTTCAACTTCTTGATGATCTCCTCCATCGGATTTTTTCCAGTCTTTGTCATCGATCCAACTTGTATTCTTGTGGTGCGCAACGAAAAAATTCCGGCAGCACTTTGACAGTACAACAAGATAGATAGATCAACAAAAATTCCTGTTTCACCAAGGAAACAAGAACCCAAAAGCAAGATATCTCAACAAAGTGAGATATCAGCTCTTTCTCTCATCAGTTCTAAGACTGACTTGTCGAGGGAACCTAAATAAACTATTACAAATCAAGAACCTCTCTCTTTCTTTTTTCTTCTTCTTTTTAAACTATTACAAATCAAGAACCTCTCTCTTTTTTTTTCTTTTCTTTTTTTTTTGTAAGGGCAGTGGAACAAGCTACCTAATCATCCAGATCCCATTTTTCGTCTTCTCTTCCCCCCAATAAAAAACCCCCAAATAAAAAAAACTAACTTTTTAAGCCTTCGTCGATTTGGGAAGTTCTGCCTCGCTAGAAGAAATTGGATCATTCCTTCGTCGATCTCTCACTACCTCGCTCCTCATCAGCACCGCCGCCAGAGCCTTCAGATCGTCGACCTCATCAGCACCGTCGCCAGAGCCTTCAGATTCTTCCACGTCATCAACCACGGCGTCCGCCGTCGACCATCCTCGATGGCGCAAACTCAGCCGTCCGATCTTTCCACGAGCTCCCCGTCGAGATCCGATCCCGATACTTCTCCTGCGAGTTCGTCGGCGGCGTCTCCTACGCCTCGAACTTCGACCTCTTTTTCCGATCTGCCGCTTACAGTCCAGATCCGGTTCGGGTCTACAAGGGCATCTACGACACCATCTCTCAGGCGACGCCAAGGCCGCCGTCGACCACCTCTCAGGGTTCACCGTGGCGAGCAGGTACCGATCAGCCTTCGTCCAGATCAACCTCGACCACTAGCTTCCGACCTCCTTCACGGCACCACACTGGGTCGACCTCGACCTTCGAAGCAGGTAAGCTTCGTCCACGCTCACTCGGATTTGTTTGGAGCTGAAGAGGGAGGCGGCTGAGGTTTAGGGCTCTGATACCATGTAAAAAGATTAGGGTTTTTTTCTCTCATAGATAGATACCCCTTTTATATAAGGGCACTCTTACAAATAGGTCCTTACAACATTGACTAATTACTATCTAAATAGAAGGTGTGTGTGTGCGTGTGCGTTTGTGTGCGTGAGCGTGTGCGCGTGTGTGAAGGTGCCAATCAGAGCTTGGAATTGTCGATCAATTGATACAATACACTTACACAACACCAAGTAGGACAAAATTTTATTTAATATCAGTTTTGATCTATGTTTAGGGCTTACAAAGATGATTTAAAAAAAGGATTGAAAAGTGTTGTTCACTGTGGAGGTTACAGAATTGAGTTAGGGTTCATCAGGAAGCAAAGATGGTCAAATAAAGTGTTCCAGACATTTTAGAGTTTTAGAGATCAGGATATATGGATAATAGTAACAACACAGGGAAAATGCCCACTAAAAAAATTTATTAGTGGTAACGAAATCTTTTTACTTCAACAAGATATTAGTCACTGACAAGCTGTAAAGTGTAAGTCCTTGACACCAAAATTCTTAAGCTGTGGTGAGAGTTAGGGGTTACAATTTTCCATTGTAAAACATTTGATCACCCTAGGTCGAATCCTTGACTCATGCAGAGGCATCATCTTTTTAAATCCACTTACAAGTTGTGTTCATGGGAATTGAAACTAGGTTGCTTCGATACCATGTCAAATGACCCTTCCACAACACCATTATAGTCTTGAATTCTAACAATTAAAGTATCAGATGTGCAACATCAGATTAAAAATTAAAAAGTCAATTCATTTTCCACAAGATGGTGGGACAATTGGTTTCAGGCTAATAGCAGTCATATGTTGTCATCTAGTAACGCAATCCAAATTATGAATGACGACAGAGAGAGAGAGAGAGAGAGAGAGAGTAATAAAAGTGGACAGTAAGAGAATGAGCCTTGGCGCAACGTAAGATTGCTGTCTTGTGACCTAGAGGTCATGGGTTCGAATGTTGGAAACAACTTCTCCGAATGCGAGGATAAGGCTGTGTACAACTACCCTCCATAGAGCCCACAATGATGGCAGTCTAACGCTCTAGACTGCCCTTTTTTGAAACAACTGACAGTATGTTGCAACATAAGGAACATACAAGCAGATTGGACACCATACCAGTAAAAGGTTATGACCGCTATCTTGAAAATGTCGGATTCTGCAATTTGGCAAAGCATTACAAAGCCTTTCAGCTTCTTCACGGCTAGGTAACAACTGGTCCCTTCCACTAAAATCAGGAAAGTCAGGAAAGCAATATCAACTCCATCATTCTGAAAAGTTGTGCCACATATAAACAGAATACACCCAGATCAGGTATTCTCAAACATACAAATAGACCCAACATACTATTAGGAGATTGATTACTTCTTTGCACTCCAAACAACTAATGGCATATAACAGGAAAATTTCATTCATTTACCCATCATTTAGGTTCCGCTTTACGGATTCTTCTTCCAACTGTTCCTCAATGGCAACAGGGTGTTAATAGTAGACATAATATCATAAAAAAGCATATAGCAGTAAGAAGAATGAGTTGCAACTTGCAACTAACAACAACATGGCAATGACGATAAAAACAACAATGACAACAACAACAATGACTACAGAAGCAATAGCAATATCAGAGGTCAGTTGCAGATAGACCCCTCATAGTATCGTTGTTTTGAACTTGCTATCCCTCTAGTTTTAGTTTTGTAGATAGACCCCGAGTGAAAATATTTTGATTTTTATACCCTCAAAGGGGTCTATTTGCCAAAAAGCAATTTTCTTTTTCCTGAGGGTAAAAGAGTAAAAAAAATTTACTCAGGCCTATTTGCAAAAAGTAAAACTAGAGGGATTGTAAGTTCAAAACAGCGATACTACAGGGGTCTGTCAGTACCGATGATTTAGCACATGCTTATCACAGTTAAAAGAAGAGTTTTCATGAGAACATGTGGTGAAAGGTTTATAGCTCTCAAGTGCATGAGCTGATTCTTTATTTGGAATGTCAGTAGCTTTAAACTTGATATGCTAACTCTGTAATGAATCTGTATTGATACATTACTGCTGAACAAACAATAACCAGTTTCTTTTTTCATATTTTTGCCATTTCAAGTATGTACCTCCCCATTTTACACTTTCACATCAGAAGCCAGCCTGTGTAAATTGCAAAGTACATTACTGTGTTTCACAGTTGTGTCTGGCATCAGCATCTAATTGAAATGAAGATTATTAAGAACAATCTTATCATAGATTTTGTCCAAAAGAAAAAAGTGAAGATGAAAGAAACAAAGTGCGGCAATGAAAAGCCAGTAATTCATTTCACACGCAGTTAAAATTTAATTGCTCCTAAGAAACCATCTAGATTTGTCTTATGATTACTAATTGGAAGATGAAAGAAACAAAATGCAGCAATGAAAAGCCAGTAATTCATTTCAAATACAGTTAAAATTTAATTTCCCTTAAGAAACCATCTACATTTGTCTTATGATTACTAATTGAAACACTGTGAAAACCCATAGTTAAAGTAAGGTAAACTCTGCATGTCAGCTGATAATAAAATGGCCTTTAATGTAACCAAATTCCAAGAGCTTGATGATAATGATTAAGTACCCAGCAAGGATCAGTGTCTGGGCTTTCACAGCATGCAGGCGCGAATTGGCAAAAGATGATGCTACCCTTAGCATCGTCAGTTTCCAGAAAAGAGATTCTTTTGGCAAAATATCAGCCAAAAACTGCAAGAGGTAAACATAAATCTGTGTGATTATATGCAAATTATAGACAGACATAATTCCATTAGAACTCTTAAAGAGATCCCAAAGTAAAGAAGGTGAACAATATATTTTTTCTGCTGGGAAGAAAGAGGGGACATGCTTGAGTTATTTTCATTCGACAGCAATAACACACATGAGCTACTTTTCCATCGGGCATCACTTACAAATGAGAAGAGACAGATCTCATATAAGTTTTAAAATAAGCAGATGTACCGAAATCAAAAGTAATTACAATGCTTACAGTTTGTATGCTACTCATCAGCTGCACTTTAACATGAAAAAGGCCATTCAACGCAATGGTAAATCCTCTTTGCAGTGTCTAAAAGGTTTGGAGTGCAAATTCCACTTGCATTAGGCTATACTCTATAGCCAAAGTATTATCAAAAAGTAATAATAATAGCAAATACTCTTGCCTCCATAGAATCCTAGGTTACCCCAACACTTTGTCTGGGCTCCCGTACCCATGTCCAACAACATGTGTCTATCTCCGACGCTCCTAGGCCACTCCCGGAGCATACACACATTTTACATGTGTACTCAATTATATAATACATGCTCTAGTTTAAAACACCAGCCATACACTTCTTAGATGTATATCTTATACTTCACGTCCACTTATTGCAACAAGTCAAGTTTGTTTCACCCATACCTATCTCAAAATACAATTCTAAAGGATCTCTTAGGTTCTAGTTCAAAAACAAGCGATTTTCCAATTTATAATCTACTTTGTAAATGAAACATAAAAATGTTACAGGAATTTAGTCCTTATAACAAGTGACTGAAAAAATAAATTCTATCTTATGCAAATTTTTAATTTCAATATGTATATGTAGTTGTGCCCCTGTATCCTACCTTTCAAATAAAAATTTGTGGGTCTCATACCAGCACCTGTTCTCGTACTCTCACCCGTACCCGTATCCACGTAACACGGATAGAATCTATTAGCATTTAATCTAATGATCTATAAAATGAAAGGAAACTGTAACTGGTTCCACATTCCTAGGTGATCATTTCCTCATTTTTCTACTATACTACAACAGGTGAATTCATTTGCTCTACTAGAAGACAGGATAAAGTACCACCATTAATACTTTGATTAGTGGCTTAGATCAGCAGAATCCATACAGAACGCTTTCATACTAGGAAAATAAAAATAATGAAGAAAACCACCATCGTCTATTGGTGTTATCTACAAGAATGATTCTAAAAATACCCAATTCAAAGGTTATAGCAATGAAAAAAATGATATCACCTCCTTAGCTATGCGTTATAGAATGTTCCGACATATTATACCTTTCCAGCTTATTGAGGACTATATATATTCCTAGATATGTGCTTCCTATTCAATATATATATTATATATATATATATATATATATATATATATATATATATATATATATATATATATTACTATATATCATCTTCTATTTTTTCTCTTGCCATACATAGTCCTTCACTTTTATACAAGACATATAGAGCATCCACATGCGAAGCTTGTGCCCTCTTAACTAGTATGTATGTATGTATGTATGTATGTACACATATACATATGTGTGTGTTTGTGTGTGTGTGTGTATATATGGTTCATTTTAGCTATTCCTCAAGGTAGTAGCACTTTCAACGATTTCCATACCATTCCTCGAGTCCCAGCATTTCCATCAGTTTCTATACTACAAGAATCCTTTATCGTAGTTAAGTTATAACAAGTGCATCATCCTTGACATATATATAGATATTTTATTTTAGCTATTCCTCAAGGTAGTAACACTTTCAACGACTTCCATACCATTCCTTGAGTCCCCGCATATATCCATCAGTTTTTATACTACATGTTCAAACTTCAAACCACCTCAACTGATTTTTACTCATATCCTAAACTATAGCCACCACGAACTACCCAGTGGTACATTTATTTCTTACTCTTATTGCTCCTCATATTTCCATTCATCTATCCCATCATACTCATACTCCAAGCCTTGGAATCAGACCATAATATTTGAAGGATATACACATAGGAGGCATACAATTACGTTTAATAATTGAATATTAATTGCAAAGAGATCTGGAGGTAGATCTAAGAGAACTTGGTTAAGAATGATATGAAAATGATTAACGAAGGAGATGACCCGGAATATAGGAGAATGGAAAAATAGGATTCATGTAGTCGACCACAAATATTTGGGATAAAGACTTTGTTGTTGTTGTATTTAATATTAACTAATTTAAATAATAATTCCAATGATAAAATTGAAGGTTGAATTTCTTATTAAATGTTTTTCTTCTTTTACAGTGTTCAAACATAAGGTGATCACATTTGATGTGTTCTTCCCAATAAGACTGTTGGGTTTCTTTCATTCCCCCCCTCCACTTTATTCTTTAGTAATGTGCTATTACACTAGGATCTTCTCTCCTTTATTCTTTAAAGATCCAAAACTGCGATGCCTCGTTCATTTGGGCATCTGGTCCCTAATTATTAACCTCAGCATAATAATAGGACTTATGATTACTGGCTCCATCCTAAATCATCCAACCCACAGGCCTTATCGAAATTCTGGGATCTATGTATAAGAATATGCTGGTGAGATCCTAGGCCTTGGAATTGTGTATAATCATTATTGATAGAATAGCTAATATGTTCAGCTCATGCCCTGGTCACGTTTGTATTCGTGTTTATAGTGTCAAATCAATTTCATATTATCATGCAGTTCTAAGTAAGCTTTGGAAACTAAGGACATTGGTTGCATATGTACAGTGAAAATTATGTATACGAAACAAAATATAATTCAATATTTAATCAGTTTAAATACATGGTTTTACACTCACAGTGAGACAAGGAAGCATTTGAGAAAAGCTTGACGGCAATGCTGCAATAGCTTGTTGAAGTGAAAGCTTGTCATCCACATTCGACAATGACATCCTCATTGAATTACCTGTAAACAAATGTTTCAAAGATGCAAGTATACCTGGTATTTTTTATTTTGAAAGGAAGAGCTCATAATAATGATAATGAACTTCATTGGTAGGTCCCTTGGAAATATGTGATCACGCAGTTTGTAATGTTCAAGAAAGGCTTATCGTCCATTTATGTTGTCTTTTGTTTTTAAAATAATTATACTCTTCAAATGTTAGAGAAAATGCTAGTCAATTTGGTAAAAGACATACTTGTTCTTCATCTCTTAAAAAGAACCACCTAAACAATGAACCACTTAGTCTAAGAGAGTGATACAGAGGACAGGCTAGGAAGTAAGTAGATGAAGGAGAATTCTGAAAGAAAGTCTATAATTCCACATCCATTACAACACTTATGAGAAAGAAAGAACGCGATCTAGATCACATACTGAACGATCAAATAAAGATAAACTCAAGTCTGACCAAAGCTCGAATAACTTACTTGCCAGAATAAAATACGTCGCTGTTACACAGTAGACTGGTTAACTCATAATTCAGAGATCAAGCACATTCAAAATCTCTCCATGCTAGAATATTTAGTGACAATTTTGATAAAACTATAGAATGGGTGAATTGACTGTAAAATATGCATAAAATAAGTAATATATGTTATCCTGTATAATCATCAACGACCAACTAGTTCTGGAATTTGAACACATTAAGCTTTCCACTGACCTGTGATAAAACTAAGGAAATATGGAATGGTAACATGGAGTGGTTCAGGGACAACATCCAAGAAAGCTGAGAGAGATTGAAGATGAGAGTTGTAGAAGGACGTCGCTGCGAGACGAGAAAGCATAATGGTAAAATGTCATTATAAACCATCTGGTTGTTCTATAATATTATTCAAAAAACATGAAGCATTTGTGAACAAACCTGGATTTGCCAGTACAAGTACAAAGTCAACATCAGGGTTCCGTGCTGCAACAGCTAGAGCAATACATGCGCCAAGTGATTCACCAACAAGATATATTGGCTTCTTTGGCAAGCAAGATTTTTCTGATTTAACTGTCCTTTCTACATACTCTACTAGGTCTGAACCAACAAAAATGAATCTCCTTGAAAAAGAATTTTATAAAAAGCACTAAAACGAAGAAAGGATTTGCCAATATGGTCAGTGCCCAGCTATATATGCTACATTTAGCTAGTCAATGTTGAGTTTTAAGTTTCAAACTTCTATGCTAAAGGTTTATTCATTTGGATTTCTACAAATATGTAAAGGAAAGCAAAGAAGTGAAAATGAAAATAAAAAGAAGAAATCTATGTATAGAGAGGCTTTAGTACTCACAGAACATAACTAAACTAATTATGCTTACTGTTGAGTTATTTAGATAGTAATTAGTCAATGTTGTAAGGACCTATTTGTAAGAGTGCACTTATATAAAAGGGGTATCTCTCTATGAGAGAAAAATTAACCCTAATATTTTTCCCCAAAACTCTACATGGTATCAGAGCCATGTGGCGGCTCCTCTACTTGAAGCTATCGGCTTGATCGAAATCACTCACCTGACGCCGACGATGCTGCCTTTCGCCTCCTGAACTCGACGACCTAACGACGACCTGAACCCACAGTCACCAAGACGACGACGACGACGACCTGAACTCCTCGTGACGCCGACGACGACCTGAACTCTAGGGACGACGACCTGAACCCACAACATCAGAGACGACGACGACGACCCCTCGGATCTGATCGAGTCCTCTCTGATGCCGTCGAGTCCTCTCCGATGCTGACGGACTCGCCCTCACTGGTCCGACGTTGAGATCAATCAGAAGCGGCGGAGAAAACCCTAGTTCTAGGGTTTGAGAGAGACGGAGGAGAGAGAGGAAGTGAGGAAAACCCTAGGACGGAGACTTTGTGAAGAAAAAAAATTTCTGACAGATGAGATTCTTTCTGAGGAGAGCGTCGGCCTGAGTTGAGAAGCTTGCAGGCCCACGAGATGAGGATGAGCCTGAGGCCGAGCTTGGATCCATCTCTCAAATGGGAATTGATTTTTTTCCTGTTGCTGAAAGAGAACACCTGTTGCTGAAAGAGAAGGGAGACGGAGGAGAGTGAAAGAGAAGGGAGACGGAGAAAAGAGAACACCTGTTGCTGAAAGAGAAGCTTTCGAGGGGGTGTTTTTTCCCTTTCTAAATTGTTTTTTTTTTTTTGGTTTCTTTTGTTGCTGGAAGAGAGGAGAAGAGAAAGGGGACCAAGGATTAAAAGATGGGGTTTGTGATTAAGTAGTTTGATTAAAAAATCTATTTGGTTCTGAATTTGTAATAGCTTATTTAGGTTCCCTCGACAAGTCAGTCCTAGAACTGATGAGAGAAGAGTTGATATCTCACTTTGTTGAGATATCTTGCTTTTGGTTCTTGTTTTCTTGGTGAAACAGGAATTATTATTGATCTATCTCTCTTGTTGTGCTGTCGAAGTGCTGCCGGATTTTTTTCGTTGCGCACCATAAGAATACAAGTTGGATCGATGACGAAGACTGAAAAAAATCCGATGGAGGAGATCATCAAGAAGTTGAATAACCTGAGGGTATTCCAGATCGAGAAGGAGATCAGCGCTATAGTCCAGGGAGAGAGGACTGTACAGGAGTACGCCACAGAGCTGGAACGCTTATGGCTCGATCACGATCACTTCTTGCCCCTAGCGAGCTGCAAGGACCCGGAGTGCAAGGAGCACGAGGCCTCTTTGCAAAAGAGGACCATGTTGTTTCTCCGAGGTTTAGCTCCAGCGTATGAGCAGAGGACGGCATTGTTACTCGCCTAGACGAAGATCCCACCACTGGAGAAGGCAGTCTCGACCATGATACAGGAGGAGAGCCGTATCAGGCTACAGTCTGGGATAGGTGGACTTATAGGGGAGAAGTCTGCACTGGTGGTATCCAACCCGGATAACACTGGATTCAAAGGGGAGACTAGGCAGTGCTTCAACTGCGGAGAAGTAGGGCATCTGAGACAGATGTGCCCTAAGCCACCCAGAGAAAGGAACTGGGGTGAACGTGGTCAGACTGGTGGCCGTGCAGGTCGAGGAGGCAGGGGGCGTGTAGGCCAAGGAGTTGCTCACCTAGCTGTGGCAGATGAGTCTCAGACTACTGCTGGGATGACTGGAGCTGAAATAACAGAGCTGGAGAAACTACGTCTGTTCAAGCTTCAGGCTGAGAGTTCGAAGGGCAAGGGACAAGTCACCCAGGATCTGGCTACCACTACATGCTTTGGTAACTTTATTGGTTATGCTCATGCGAACAAAGGTACACAGGTTCAGGCACTTGCATCCACTAAAACTCATGTTGATTGGATCATAGACATGTCACAGGAACATCTAGTGAGTTTGCATTATATTATCCGAGTAAGCATATGCATCCTGAGACAGTTCAGACTGCCGATGGGACATCCCAACCCATCAGGGGTACTGGCTCGGTCCATTGCACTTCATCTGTTACTTTGTCATCAGTATTGCATGTTCCTTCGTTTCCAGTTAACTTACTCTCAGTTAGCTCTCTCATTGATCAATTAAATTGCACCGTGTTATTTAATCGAGATTTGTGTGTCTTTCAAGAGAAGGAAACGGGGAGGAGGATTGGGACTGGTATCAGACGTGATGGTCTTTGGTATTTGGACAGAGATACAGTAATGATTGCTGCTGCTGTTAGCGGAGGGCCAGAGGCAGAAGCGATGCTTCAACATTGCCGGTTAGGACATTTATCTTTTGAGAGTTTAAATAGATTAGAACCTGAGTTAATGAAGAAAGTGGATAGAAAAGAGTTATTTTGTAATGCCTGTGAACTTGGAAAACATACTCGTTCTACTTATAGAATGATTGGTCTTCGAAGTTGTGAACCATTTGCACTTGTCCATTCTGATGTTTGGGGACCATGTCCTACTACCTCTATTAGTGGTTTTAGATGGTTTGTTACTTTCATTGATTGTTACTCACGTATGGTCTGGATATACATGATGAAACAGAAATCTGAGGTTTATAAATGTTTTCAAGACTTCTCGGCATATGTGAAGACACAGTTTGGAATGCAGGTGAAGATTCTCCGAACAGATAATGGGACCGAGTATGTCAACAAGGAGTTTGTCGCTTTCATCTCTAGTCAGGGAATCCTTCATCAAACTACTTGTCCAGACACCCCTGCTCAGAATGGGGTAGCTGAACGTAAGAACAGGCATCTACTGGAAGTGGCTCGCTCATTGATGTTGACAATGAATGTGCCTAAGTTTTTATGGAGTGAGGCTGTCATGACGTCAGCTTATTTGATCAATAAGATGCCATCAAGAGTATTAGGGATGAAGACACCGTGTGAGATGCTCTTGGGCTTGAATGTTTTTGTTGTTCCACCAAGAGTGTTTGGATGCACATGTTATGTAAGAGATCACAGATTGATGGTGAGTAAACTGGATCCGCAAGCAGTTAAATGTATCTTTGTTGGCTACTCATCAAGTCAAAAAGAATACAAGTGTTGGTGTCCCACTGAAAAAAGATTGTTTGTCAGTATGGATGTGACTTTTCGGGAATTTGAACCTTTTTATGGGGAGAAGATGGAGTTGAGTTCTTTGTTTGGAGATGACTCGACTAATGCTAGTAGAGAGGGGGAGAATGAGAATGAGAATGACGTCGTGGTTGGGATGATTCCATGTCCTCTTGAGCCACCGAGCAGTGATGGTACACCGCCGAGTAGTGGTGGCGACTCAGGAGGTGACAGTCAAGGTCAGGGGGAGCTGAGAGTATACACGAGGAGACAGAAACAACAACATGAGCTGCCTCCTGTGCTTATGCCAGTGCCCACAAATGTTGATGTCCTAAGTCCCTCCTCTCCAGTGACTTCTCCACCTGAATCGATAGGTAACGAGTTCTTCCCTGATACTTCTAATACTCCCTTCTTGCCTCGTAGAACCTCCAGAGTTAATGCTGAAAAACCTCCAACTAAGTTTGATAGTTAGGATACTGACATTGCGAATTACATTTTATATGCATCCATTCTACCTGCATATAAGTCATTCATTGCATTATTGCATTCAGTGTCTGTACCTAACAACTGGCAGGTCGCTACGCAAGACCCTAGGTGGTTGAGTGCCATGCAAGAGGAACTTCGGGCTTTGAAGAAGAATGATACATGGGAGCTGGTACCTCTACCAGCTGGGAAGCGTGCTGTTGGATGTAAGTGGGTGTATACGGTTAAGCAAACTCCAGAGGGCAAGATCGACAGATACAAAGCCAGACTGGTTGCTAAAGGCTACAGTCAAACGTATGGCATTGACTATGATGAGACATTTGCTCCAGTAGCAAAGATGAGCACTGTTAGAGTATTGGTGTCATGTGCTGCCAACTTCAATTGGCCACTACATCAGCTAGATGTCAAGAATGTCTTTTTACATGGAGATCTCCAGGAGGAGGTGTATATGGAGATTCCATCAGGCTTCGCTACTTCTCAAGTAGCTGGGAAGGTGTGCAAGTTGAAGAAGTCTTTGTATGGGTTAAAACAGTCTCCGAGAGCATGGTTTGACAGATTCAGGTTGGCAGTCTGTGGTATGGGGTACAAGCAGTGCAATGTTGATGATATTGTAATCACTGGAGATGACGCTGAGGAAATCCTACGGTTGAAGAAGAAATTGGGAGAGGAATTTGAAGTTAAAGATCTGGGGCAGTTGAAATACTTCCTCAGAATTGAAATTGCAAGGTCGCGAAAGGGTATAGTGCTTTCTCAGCGGAAGTATGCTCTGGATCTTCTCTCAGAGACAGGGATGTTGGGGTGTAGAGTTGCATCTACTCCTATCGAGCAAAATCATAGGATGTGTGCCGAGGGTGGTGACCCAGTGAGTAAAGAGCAATATCAAAGATTAGTTGGACGACTTATATATTTATGTCATACGAGACCTGATATTACTCATGCCGTGAGTGTGGTGAGTAGATATATGCCATACGAGACCTGATATTACTCATGCCGTGAGTGTGGTGAGTAGATATATGCATGATCCCAGAGAACAGCATATGGAGGCAGTTCGCAGAATTCTTAGATATATTAAGGGAAGCCCAGGAAAGGGGTTGTGGTTCAGAAGTTCTGGACATCTGAGAATTAAAGGCTACTGTGATGCTGATTGGGCGGGTTGTATGGATGATCGTAGGTCAACTACAGGCTACCGTGTATTTGTTGGAGGCAATCTCGTATCTTGGCGTAGCAAGAAGCAAGATGTGGTGGCTAGGTCTACAGCTGAGGCGGAGTACAGGGCTATGGCAGTTGGTCTGTGCGAGTTGATGTGGGTCAAAAACATATTATCTGAGCTGCGCTTGTTTAGAAGAGACTCCTTACAACTTTGGTGTGACAACAAATCGACGATTAATATTGCAAACAATCCAGTTCAACATGATCGCACCAAACATGTGGAGATCGATCGGTTCTTTATCAAGGAGCAACTGAATAGAGGAGTTCTGACTTTGAGCTATGTGAAATCAGAAGAGCAGTTAGCTGATTGTTTAACAAAAGGATTAGGTTCTAGAGAGTATGATATCTTTTGTAACAAGATGGGGATGATTGATATCTATCGCCCATCTTGAGGTGGAGTGTTGAGTTATTTAGATAGTAATTAGTCAATGTTGTAAGGACCTATTTGTAAGAGTGCACTTATATAAAAGGGGTATCTCTCTATGAGAGAAAACTTAACCCTAATATTTTTCCCCAAAACTCTACACTTACCTACCAAGATGCACGGTGTGTTATGAACAATCTGTTACATTCACATCAATCAACAGATTGTTAATATTACGCGCTTTGTATCTTACAATTTATGGAAAATGATATTCTTTTAGTTACATTATTAAACGACATGCATTTGTCATCACTTGGTGCATGACTAAAAGGGAAAAAATGCACAGTTTTTGGTTGAAAAAACTTTATAACATGTAGATCAATGTGAGTGGTGCAGCAAAATCCTATGAATATCATGCACTTTCATAGTAAGCATAAATAAGGAGCACTAGAGCCTCCACGTCTAGATGAGTTACCCACAATAATGATCTAACCTACATCTTGACAGGCCAAAACAAATCATAATTTAGCCCATTCTTCTATGAAATCCAAGATTCAACTGTCAGCTATTTTTAAGGTTCTCAGTAATGAGATGAGATATTTCCCCGACTGAAGAAACCGTTTGAATACTACATTCATCTGATGCACAATTTGTTCCAACGTAACATTCTGACCTGTTTCATTCCCTTGTTACTCTTTATCTTCTGAGAAGTTTATGTTGCCTCCAAGGATTAATACAGTTCTAGTAAAATTCCTTTCTATTTCACCAAAATCTGAAAACCAACCTAATGCAAAAGGCCTGTTTCGAACAGGGACCTTTTGTCCCCATTGTAAACAATTGGCAAAGAGTATGTATCAGCAATGTTTTTCACATGTTCCTATAATTAACAAAAGGTAACACATATATGTAATCCATAGCTTCACCTGTCTCCCCTTCATCTTGACATGATGATAGTTGATGACTAACCTAAGAGGAGAGATTTCTCCCTTCAATCACTTTCCTCATTACGAAAACAATTCATACTATCTAGGCGGTGGCGATACATTCCAAATTCGACTACAGTCATGTCCCCACGAATCACATTCATTCTCATTTTCTCTCTCAAGAAAATTATAACCCTCAACAAAAAAGGACAAGCAGTGACCAAAAGCAGATCCTCCACTACCTAGCTTCAAATCCGAGGACCAGAATCCATAATTTTCAAACAGTTTATCTACTTCAAGGAACATACTTAACCTGAATGAAATTCTATTAAAAATTAATGCTTAATTGCCCATAAGGATTCGCTGAATGGGAGCAAGAAACTGACCTTCAAATGGTGTCCTATCCATAACCGGAATATGCAAGCACCAAACATCAAATATCCTGCACTCAAATTTAAATTTTCATAAAGGAAACACATATAACTACTAATATATCAGAGTAAAAAAAAAGAAACAACAGGTTCCTCATGTTCATGCTTACTTTCCCAATCTTTGATGATGCCTAATAAGACCAAAACCAACGCCATCAATACCTACAAATCGTTGAAATAATAAGCAATCAAATCAGCTTCTCACTGAGAAAAGGTTCAAATCATAACTAAATGAGGAAACTATGGGCATAAATTTGAAGATGCAAAACTTATGTGGTTCCCAATTTCTGAAAGCCACAAAATTGTGATGCAGGATTAGGACCGGCAGGGGGAAACAAAGAAAAGGAGCGGTTTTTCAGGAGTGAACTGTAACAAGCAATTTTAAGAAACACGAAAAAAAAAGGTAACATCTCATATTTAATTTAATACTAGAAAAGCAGCTTTTTATCTTCATTTCCGCCAGAGAGTGACTGACCGAATGAATGGAGAGCTAGTCAAAGTTGTGGATCGACTTCGCCGTCAGCATGCAATAAAAAATAAGTCTTGAGCGTGCTAAAGAGGACGCCCCCTACCCCTGCAGATGTTCACAACAAGTGCGAACACTCCGATTTTTATTTTATTTTTTTTTATTTTTTTATTTTTTCTTCTGAAAGGTGTGTTCACGATGTCATCGTTCCCAGGTTCTTCCTCGGATGGCTTCTGCAACCACATTAATCGGATCAAATCCTCGATACACCATGTCTCCACGCCCAGGGTAGCCCGAGTGATAGGGTTGTGAGGCCGTAGAGCCGCGAGTTAACGTCAGGTCAGGCCTAAAAATGAGGCTAGAATCGGTTAATTTGGAC